GATTGAAGTTATCATTCCAAACGAACGATAAGAAAATCATTCAATTGGAACGATCAAATTATCATTTCAAAAGAACGATAAAAGAATCATTAATTTGAAATGATTGAAGTTATCGTTCCAAACGAACGATAAGAAAATCGTTCGATTGGAACAATCAAATTATCGTTCTAAACGAATGATAAAAGAATCATTCGTTTAGAATGATTGAAGTTATCGTTCCAAATGAACGATAAAAAAATAGTTCGATTGGAACGATTAAATTATCGTTCCAATCGAACGATAAAAGAATTATTCGTTTAAAATGATTGAAGTTATCGTTCCAAACGAACGATAAAAAAATCGTTCGATTGGAATGATTAAATTATCGTTCCAATCGAACAATAAAAAAATCATTTATTTGGAATGATTGAAGTTATTGTTCTAAACGAACGATAAGAAAATCGTTCATTTGGAATGATTGAAGTTATCATTTCAAAAGAACGATAAAAGGATCGTTTCAAATGATCTGAAATTTTGGATTAATCCAAAATTTTAGTTCAGTTCGGATTTTTACCAGTTTACAGTTCGGTTCGATTTCAGATTGGCATTTTTAGGATTTATAATCTGAACTGAACCGAACTGAAATTTTGGATCAGTTTCAGATTGGCCTATAATCTGGACTGAACTGAACCGTTCGGAGCATTAGGTATAATAATACTATCATCCCTAAAGAATGATAAAATCATCATTCTTTAGGTACGATAAAATCATTATTTCTTAGATACGATAATACCATCATCTTTAAGGAATGATAAAACCATCATTCCTTAGGAACAATAAATGCATCTTACCTAAGGAATAATAAAACCATCATTCCTTAGGTATGATAATACCATCATTCTTAAGGAATGATAATACCATCATTTCTTAGATACGATAAAATCGTCATACCTAAGAAATGATAATACTATTATTTATTAGGTACGATAATATCATCGACTCTAAGGAATGATAAAACAATCATCCCTAAAGAATGATAAAATCATCATTTTTTAGATACAATAAAACTATCATTCTTTAGGTACAATAATACCATCATTCCTAAAGAATAATAAAATAATTGTCTCTAAGGAATGATAAAATCATCATTCTTTGGGTACAATAAAACCATCATTCCTTAAGAACAATAAAACTATCGTCTCTAAGAAATGATAAAACTATCGTTTATAAGAAATAATAAAACTATCATTTCTAAGGAATGATAATACCATCATACCTTAGGAATGATAAAATCATTATACCTTAGGTATGATAATACCATCATTTCTAATGAATGATAATACCCTATTATTCTAATCGGAAGTCAATTGTTATAAATAAGATAGATTGAATTTTGATATATACTAATCGACTATAAGTATGCCAATTGGTTATAAATAATATAGGTCGAATTTTGGCTGATTTTTGGCTGATTTTTGATGTATGTCAATTGGCTAGGCTGATTTTTGATAATTTGCAAATTTAGGCTAAATTTAGATTGATTTTAAGTCAATTTTCACATGTCTGATTTTTTTGATTTCTACCAGTGTATCTAATTACATATTATAATACTAAAGAATTTAAATATATATAGTATATTAATATATAACTAAAAAGGATAAATAGGTAGTTCTTTACCATCTACCTACACTTTTATTATAAAAAGCTCATATAAATATACAATATGTGAGTATTAAAAATCTTAGTAAATATTTAACCAAATATGTTTTAAATCAGAACCTTCATATGTATTTAATATATTAGAAAATAATAAGTATTGTGAGTATATAATTGTTTGATGATTAAGTTTAATAGAATATATATTTTTATTACTTAGTAAAATAATATGCAAATCATCAGTAAAAGTAAAATACCTACTTACTAAACTGCTAATAACTCGTTCACGTATAATAAAACTAATATCAATAATATTAAAAGATGATAATGATTTATATTAAAACGATACAATTGAAAAATATTTTGCATATTCACATAATGAACAATTTAATAATATAACTTATCCTGATTATTTTAAAAATTATACATTATCAATCAAAAAACCTTCAAATAATGAAATTTACAAAGATAATTTAAACTATTACATTGTTAAGAGAATATCTCTATTAATTATACATTATAGATAACTTAAAATTCAGAATAAAAAACTATATTTTATTAATAATTACTTCTTACAATACCAGATCAGAAGATGAATTACTTAGTAATTTTACATTTTATCAAGAAAATATTTAAATTTACATTGAAGCTGTAATCTGTGACTATGTTTCAATTAGTCAGATGATCAAAATAATTAATAAAGTTGATGAAATAAATAAATTAGACCAAGTTACTAAAGTAGTTATCATTTATTTATTAGATAGATTAGTTATAATTGTTATTTTTGTTAATTATATTATAGTTAGTAGAGTAATTATATTTATCTTATATATTTATTTTATCTTTATTATTATATTTATTATTGTATATTTTATATTATTTTATTTTGTATAAATATCTTGAAATTCCCTTGAGTTGAAAAGTAACTCAAGTTAAGGTTTTAAGATAAACTAAGAGTTCAATAAAGGAATCATTAAATTCATTTACTATTATCTTTTATCATGTCTTCATATAGGCATAATTATAATATTATCTTATATTTAATTCAATGAATTGAATTAAAAGTTTATTGTCTAAGTTTACAGAAACATTCAGATTTTTAGAATTCTATTCAAAATTCTATAAATACAATAGTAGGAGAAAATAGATATTTATTATAAAATCAATTTAATACAATCATAACTAATATATTAGAAAACCTTGAAGGTAAAATCACTCTACAAATATCAAATATTCTTACCAAATAATTATATAATTTAAAATTAATACCATTAATATTTTTGCTAAATGCAATGTTAAACTTACCAAAAGAATAATACATTATATATAATATAATTATATCTACTTGTAGACTAATATCACAATCTAAAAAATATCTATTTTTCTTTATTACAGAATTTGGTAGAACTGGAAAATCATATTTAACAAAATTAATTATTGATTAGATAAAATCAGAAAGAAAAACTTATCTATTAATAGCTCTAATAGGAATAGTTACACAAAATGTTAGAGAATTTATTATTCATTCTGCACTTAGAATAGTACAAATAGAATCAGGTTATCAATCATTAGCTTTTTATGATCTTGAATTTAAAAAAAAATTACAGAAAATTCAAATATTAATTATAAATGAAATATCAATATTTTCTGCCTCATTATTTAATTTTATTTCTGATTTATTTGCTAGAATTCACAATTCTAATATATCATTTAGAGATATCTGTGTAATCATTGCAAGTGATTTAACATAACTTCTACCAGTAAGAGGAGAAGCTGTATTTTATTCATTAGTATGGCAATTATTTCATCCTTTATTTTTATACAAATCTCAAAGATATAATGAAGATAATGAATTTTATAAAATATTGGAAGAAATTAAATTTGAAAAAATATCAAATGCAACCTGAACAAAACTTATAGAAAAAGCAACAAATTATAATAATAATCAATCTTTAGATTCATTATTAACAATAACACATATTGTTGGATATTGTGAAATATCAAGACAAATCAACAACACAATTTGCAATCTACTTCCAATTAATAATGAAAATATTTATTAGCAGAAGCTATAGATTTTATAGAAGTAAACAAGTATTACCAGAATTTGTTCAAACAGAATTTAAAATAAAAACAAATATGCCACTAACAGTTAGACTCCAACAAGGTGCATAAGTTATGTATCTAAATAACTTACTAATAAAAGAAAGTATATACAATGGAATTATCAGTGTAATCACTGATATAGATAAACAACAGCCAAGTGTGCAAATAGCATTTTGTGTATATAGTGCAATTATTCAAAGATGGATTACAAGAGAAACATCCTACTTTTATTCAGGGGGTCAACATGCATCTAGAGTACAGTTTCTATTACAAAACTCATTTTCTTTAACAGTTCATAAAACACAGGGTCTTACCTTACATTCCATTTCAATAGATCTTAGCCAACTATTTACACCTGATCAAGCATATATAGCAATCAGCAGATGTTTCAAAATGGCAGTATGTTCAAATAATAAATTTAGATAAAAATTCATTTATAATAGATCCAAATGTAATTAAAGAATATTCTCGTCTAAAACAAAAAGCATCACAACCACTCCAATTTAATAAAATATTATAATCTATATATATGCAATATATATTCCAGCAAATTTAATGAAATACTTATAATTAAGGCCGGCCGTTAGTCGGCCATGATTAAAATCTAGTTATAACTTCTATAATTTACTTAACGAAAGGATTAAATATGTTACTGTTCATATTATTTACTATGTTCGTAACTCGATTTTAATAAAAACCTCCTAAATAATAACCAAATTACATAAAATTTTATAATTATATATTACAAAAACAGCAGAACATCATTTACTTAGAACCAAATATGATGTTTAGAATACGTTCTAAAAAAATTTTAATTCATATGATTAAGATAGGCGTATTTTGATTCTGCTTTAAGATTTGCTTATTGCTAGTTAATTAATAAATAAAAGTTTAAATGTAATCACAATCACTAATTAAATTTGTAATATATTTCAAGTTCGCACGATTGATTTCGGACGGGCAATTTCTGAAAATAATCAATATTTTAGGAATCTCAACATTTCTTATCATTTACTTTTCGTATAAAATTAATTATTTTTTTTTATTATTACATTACTATTCATATTTTTTATATTTTTTAGCATAGAAATTTTAATCCTTGAAGTCATCAACTTGTTTTTTTTTTTAATAAAGTGCTAATGCTTTAAATTTTTAATTCTAAAACTCTTTCGTTTCTCAAATTTTATTTATATCCGTATTTAAAGAAATTCAATGATATGAAAATGGGTGAACATAAACTTCCTACAATCCTTATAATTGGAGCAGACCCAGGTGGGCTAGCTTTAGCGCATTCAATTCAAAAAAATTATAACATGATCAAAAATAAATTTAATGTAAAAATCTTTGACTGTGAACCAAGCCCACAAGGTACTGATGTGGTATATTTTATAGTTAGGTCAAAACCCTAATCCCATTTTGGTAAAAGACAAAACCTTTCAGTTTTAACGAGTTTTGATTTTAATATCTGTAAAAACCTCTGGGCTTTGCCTAGCATTCCAGCAACCTTTGTATATATTCGTCCTTTTCACAGTGTTAAATTCCTTCTTTTTGAACGTTTAGATCAGTGGCAAGGTTATCATATAGGTTGATTGCTAGAAAAATCAGATTCCGGGAATTTTTTAACAAAATTGAGATTTTTATTACATTTTAGTTTTTGATGTTATTAGATTAAAATGTATTAAGCTCTTAATTTAAGTAAAAAATTTCTCAGAACCTGATTTTCCTAGAAATCCTTCCATATTACATTACATTGCACGAGAGTAAAATCAATATTAAAATGAATTCCAGATCAATTGCTACGAGACTTCATGAAGTTGTATCTGATCCAATTGATGGTGGAATTGAAAATCATGTTTTAATGGTTAAAGATCATTTAGGAAATGTATTATTAAAAACTCTGGAATATTAAGTTAAGAATGTTTATGAATTAAGTAAATTAAATAATCAATTTACATTTATTAGTTTTAGCGATAGATTGAGAAAATTTATTATTCAAGGGTATTGACGTGCAATAGGAAGAAATGTGTTAGATACTATGAAAATGAGAAAGGAGTTTGGGTTATCTTTGAAGATGGTAAGAGAGAAAGGAGATTTCTTGGTCAGCGCAAACGGAATTCATTCTGCAAGTAAGTTATGAATTGGTATATACAGCATATGTGATATTATTTTTTTTAAATTTGCGATGTTATTGCTTTACAATTTAGATAGTTCGAAAACAGAAAATTCCTGAATTGAAAATAAATCATTTGGGAATAACGTAATATTGTATAGATATCGCTCCAAATAAAGAACTTTTAGATCGAATATTATCTATCACCAGAAATAGTCTTCTATAAGTTTTGATGGGTCTGAATAGAGATTGTACATTCTTAATTTTTTGTTTAATTCCATAGATTTTTCTAATGAGATATATGAATCATCACGTTATAGAGTATCATTTGCTTATTCTTACCCTTCTGAATAACATGAAAAAGATGATAATTGGACTATTAACAAGCAAATTCCCTGATAAGAAAATCCTGAAATGCATTTTAATGATATTAAGAAAAGAATTAAAGAAAATAGACCTCAAGAGGTAAATTAATTAAGATATTTCTAGAAATCTGGGAATTATCTAAATTAAGGGTCGAAAATGATTATGGAAAATATCCTTTTAAAACCTTTTATCCTTTGAGAAGAAGGCCATTAAGAGATATTTATCCTGAAAATGTTGATCAATGAAAACTATGAGAGTAACTTTTTTTAGGTAATGCTGTACACGCCAGCATAGCGGGCTTAAGCCTGATTAGTTGATTTTTAAAATGATCATCACATATTAAATTCATATAAAAAAGATGATCATCAATCTTTAAATGGAT